AGAGTAAATCTTATCACCATTTCTAAGCCTTTCAAAGTGCAATACTTTTTCTCAGGTTTAAACTTTCCTGACTGGAAAGTTACTGTGTTACTGCCAAGACTTATTTTACTGTGGAGTTGGAAATCTACTGAAAAAGCATACAAACTCAATATGCTGCTGTCATCTGGAGATACTGCATGCTTCTCCTTATATGTTACATCAGACGCTGAGGCCACCGCCACAGCTAACTGACCTTACAGGGACATTTTAGCCGACACGTCATCAACTTCAACTTCCCCTGGGAGGGAGCCAGTGGGAGAGAATGAAACCAAATGTCCTGTATGTCATTTTCAGTCTTCAATTCCTCCCAGCCCATTACTATGGAAACTGTGAGTTGAGGCGAGTTGAAGACTAAAAATGCTGTACAGATACAAGGATCAGCTGGTTTGTCCCGTCAACGATCAGCCCTGCTCACAGCCGACACCCCCGGGGTGGTTTAAAAAACAGGGATTATGGGTAAGTTTAATCATCTGTTTATTTTTGAATCACTACTTGAAAATAAACTTGTCAATACTCGTGAATACACTGCTTTATATATAGACCAATCCAAAAATATCTGCATATTGTCACAATTGTCACGTTTTCAAAACTAAAACCTGAGTATGATTTTATTTGACTGACATAAAAATAAAAACTAGACATTTTTAAAAAGTGAACTAATGACACCAGACTGTGTACTTGGAAAAATATACTAAAACAAAATAAAGATATGCAGGAACTGTCTCTTGTGTAGCATCTTGTACATGTTACAGCACTTTAATGCAAAGACAAAATACATATATTTTCAACGTTAAACTTGAAAAACTGAAAAGATGGTGACTGAAACAAGTAATAGATCATTGCAGTGTTTGAAGTCCTTACCTCATCGTCTTAATCCAACAATAAGTTGTGTAAAGACCTAACCTTGTCATTGTAGACAGGGATTGCATGCATCCATCCACCCATTCGCTTCCGCTTATCCTTTTCAGGGTCACGGGGGGCGCTGGAGCCTATCCCAGCTGTCTGAGGGCGAGAGGCAGGGCACACCCTGGCCAGGTCAGCAGTCTGTCGCAGGGCTAATCATAGACACAGACAACCATT